ATAGGAGATATTATTTCCTTAAAAAACAAAAACATATTTCTATTTTTTACGTGATAGATTGTGCGATACTGCTGTACCACTGTTCGAATAAAACTCCTCTAATATTCGTATCCATTTTTAATTTTATTTTAAAAACTAGCTTGCGAGAAAAATCGTTCATAACAAAGAATACACCATAGTGTAGTATTTTAAATCCTTTTTTGGTACAACACAGATTTTTTTTTAGTACTGTTTAAAAATGTGTAGAAATAAATAGATTTTTAAAATAATCTTTTGTTACCTCACTGTAGTACTACTAAAGAAAGAGAAGCTTTAGATAAAAAAAATTGCTCAGAATCAAAAATTTCCTCTCGCGTTTTGCGTTTTAGACCTCGCTTTCTTCTTTATTTTTCTTTACTATTATGATCAATTTTTTTAATATTTTAAATCGACTTGTCGTGAAAGAGAAAAGAAAAAAAGAAGTGCATTCTAAATATAACGTCAAAATATTATCCTATAGATTACCAACTTAACCAGCCAGGATTCTTGACTTTCTGGATCCATCACACAATAAAAGTTAACAACCCATACTTTTATACTTTTAAAATAATTTCAATCTGATTCCTGATATGTTGGCTAACTAAAAGATTAACTTGGCTTATAATTATATAATAAATAATAACATTTTAATAAATTAATAATAAACAAGTTGTTTATATTTGACATTAATGATATTTAGAATGACGATGCCTTGCTCTTTGGCTAATATATTTTAGGTAACCCTGCTGGTCGGTTAATTAATTCCATTGTTATTTAATTAATTTTCAGGACGAAAGTTAGGAGAAATTATTTTTTGTTGAATATATCAATTGAAATATACTCTATTTCACTGGGCGCGTCTCTGGGGATAAGCAGAAGTTGGACCGCCCGAAATGGAAAAATATTTCATTTAAATACTTGAAAAATCACAATATATGCTCTTTTAAATTGAGAACGCATGTTTCAGCTGATGAATGTAAGCACAAGTCAAGAAAAAATATATAAAAATGTATCCTTAAAAGCAATATAGTTAATATAAGCACAATTTTTGACTTTTTAAGGACCTAGTTGGCATAATTTGTTTTCTTCCAGATTAATTACCATTATTAAAAGAAATGGAAAAAGAAAAAAAAAAAAGAACTAGCGTCTCTCCCCTCCAAAAAAAAACCAACTAAATCCTGAATCCGCGGCTATTGTTAACCATCCCTACCCAAATTGAACAAATTTCAAATGAATGTATTGCTCTCAACAATGTTATGATCGTTAACTAATAGTTTACATGAAATATCAGTTTTTTTGTAAACATCATCATAATTAAAATGTTGTTGATGTTAATAACGAGAGTGTTGGTAATGATATTTTACGTTATAATTGCACCCCTCTACTTATTTTTCCTTCCTTGCGTACCAGGATCAACAAGTGATAATCAGATCCTTGCTGAGTAAACATTTAATTTACATTGTAATTTGTAAAGTGACCGAGTCCTCGAGCCAACGGTAGCTCTAAGTGGCTCAGTGACCTGGCCATTTCTATTTAAATGAAAAATCAGTCCTTACATAAGACCGAGCCGCTCAATTAATCTGCGCCCCTTTCTCCTAATTGCTCCTTGTATCATTTGTACTACTGAAAACAGGAGAAACTCCATGGAGCAGCTCTCAAGACTACTAATTTATGCGGGATATTGTCCGTCAGTCAGTAGGAGGGTTGGGCTGTAAGGACCTCTTGTGTAATATATACCTGGATATGGTCTTCCTTTTAAGGCAGCATTTTTTTCACAATTTCGCCTGGCCTATTTACGATTGGGGCAGGCGCGTGTTACGGGCAGCTTTATGGTCCCAGATCTAAATGTCGACGGAGGTTGGATGTAATCCGACATGACGATTTGAAGTACTGAGGAACATACCATTCATAACATCTCAAACAGGACTGGAATATAAATGTCAGAATTTTCTTGTTTTTTTCTTTTATGGAGTGCATAAATAGGTGCAAACTGTTTTACTTCTGTATTCCATTTAGATGACAGTTTGTATAAAGATCTCATGAAGTATAATTACACACACACACACAACATATATATATATATATATATATATATATATATTAATGTATGCGTATTTGTATAATCTTGTAAAATGTCTTCGTAGGTTTACAACCTACTTGATAACTGAAACATTGAAAGCTCGATTTGTTTAACGATATAGATTTTCCCTGGTCCTTTGAGAATACCTTATTTCCTATAGAAATATATAATATCTGTCGAAGAAACGAATTTTTGTCTACAACTCAAATAATATGTAAGAAATCAGCGGATATACAAAGGCACCTCTTCAGTGAATATTTAAGGTTATGTTTATTAACCGAATGTTCTGGACTCCACAGTTAAACAAAACGCACCATACTCTAAACGTGTCTTTCATCCAGATAGTGTCTCTATTAATTTTAATGAGAGTTACTCGTTTTGTACTTTTCTAACTTAGTTGAGTTGTAGGGGTAATATACCAGTAAAATTAGGACTTCGGTTCGATGAAATTTTGGTGAAGCTGGAGATTGTTATAATCTACGGGTTCCGTTTCTATTATCTAAGAAGAAACTCAGTTATTGCCGAATTCTGTGGTTAGTTTTAAGAAATTCTCTCAAAATACTAAGTTGTTAGTTTTTATTATTTTATTTTTATTTTGAGTTAAAATTATTAAAATCTCTGTTTACTCCTGCCACGAAAGAAGGAGGAATCACACTGCAGATTACTAATTTTGTTCGAGTTATAGTAAGAAGGCAGACATTTATTCCATTCATATCCGCTACGATATAGATAATCGTCCATTCTATGCCTGATTCAAACCTGTGTCTCCTCTGGATTGAGAATTAAATATATTTGTCGTTTCACTCTGTACTGTTTTTTCTTACTACAGGCAACATTAGGGTAAATTACAAACCGTAAATTAAGTGCAATACGTATGATTGTCGAGGATGATTAGGATCTCTATAATAAAAGGTCATTTGTTAATAATGGTACTGTTATGTAATGAGAATCCTCCTCGCATCGGACTTCAGCTGTCGCTCTTGTTCTGATGTTTTTCTGGCATGCCCACTCAATGAACATATAACATGTAAAACCGATTAAGAAATGTCGACTAGGCTAGCTAGACTAGGGTCTCGTAGTAGGTATGTATCTATTTCATGGATACCTAAATGTTACTTTTATTTAAACTGTCATTTATATTCAAAGATAATAATATATATCAACAAATCCTAGGATTTTATGATTCAATCACCTCTCTTTTTCAAGTGGTATTCTAATCACATATTTTCGCGGCAAACTAGTCGGACTGTGAATAATGTATTTTTATTTGAGGTAGTACAACACACTATGAAATCAAAAATGTTTTTCACTTTTTACTCGATTTAGCGAAGCGAAACGGAGGTAATGTGTTTAGGTCGTCCACTAAAAGCTCTGTAACAGTTTTTGAAGCGAACCGCTGGATCGAATTTTAAGTTTGGTGGCTCCAACTATTCGCTGAAATCCCCTGAATGTCTTAAAACAATTTAAGCTAAATACTGGCCAGGTATTAAATAAAATGTGTTTAATAGACTTAAATTCTGGTAAATTACTGTGTAAAGAGTGTTTAGTAAAAGTAGTGACCGATTTTTAACTTTGAAGGTTTTAAGTACTCAGAGAGATCCCTTGAATGTTTTTAAACAATTTGAGCATAAACTATTTTAAAACATTCTTTTTATAGTTTAATTATCTTGATTGTGAATTTATTTGAAATGATATTATGTTATCATTTCGTCGGCATCATGTTAAAGTAAGAATGTGAAAAGTTGGACAGGCTCTAATATTAGTTATTTTAACATTGTGCCGACGATATGTTATGAAAATAAATTGTTAATATTTAAATTATAAAAATAGTACAGTAAAAAATATTTGAATTAAAAAAAAAAATCGACTACAGAAGCTGGGAAATTCTATCCATCCTAAGGGAATGTTCTTTCATATTCACTTAAACATCTTAGTAGATTGATAGTAAAATTGACATCTAATAATATTTAAACTTGATGTAGTAGTAGAGTACCTACCTCTCCTGAACAAAACTCAAGACATTCGGATATCCACTTGCACCGATAGATGAGATGAAATCTATTTGCCTGGAGCCGTCATCTCTAGTGAAAGACATCCAACTATTAAACGGAAATACATCCTCTTAGGGAGGATAGAAGTTTTCCAATTTCTGTAGCTGTTTTTTTTTTTTTTTTTTTTTTTTTTAGATCTTTTCAAGTATATGTATTAACCAAAAAAAAAAATTAAATTAAAATTATTACAATTATAAAAACATATAACGTTTCAAACGTTCAATATTATATTTGTTCGTTTCACAATAATTATGTTGAATTTTAACACATAAAAAAAATCCTGCATTTTTTTTTTTTTTTTTTTTTGTCCATCCATCCCTCCCTCACAATCAAAACCGAAATTCTGCGCCTATGATCCAGAGTTTAATGTTACAACGGAATAGTTCTTTGTTTATCTTTTAAGTTTATCTTTCAATATGTTCATATGAATGATATATATTCTTGCAAGACAAAGAAGTAATAATAAACAATTTAAAAAAAAATAATTGAGGCAGTATGTAAAACTGAATCTAGGCCTCTTCGATGAATATAGATGGATCGTATTATATCAGGAGTAGTTCATTAGGAGCTAGCCGCGCTAAGACTCCCGATATCGACACTAACCCAATTACGACACTGACTAAAGAGGAACGGGGAAGCTAACGAATGGGGAGACGCGAGCAGGCACAAAGAGCCCTGATTGGCGCTAAACGAGCCAATCTCCTTGGATGATTCGCCGTTCTCAAGGGGATCCTGCACAATGGGAGCGTGCCACCACCTAATGAGCCCCAGCACGAGTCCTTTCGGCCTTCTTAATAGGCCTTCTTATAGCTACCTACCTCTTGCCTAACCGCGTCCTCTCCCCCCGTCTGATGTCTTCATTGGCTATACCTTCTAGGGCCAACGGGATAACGTCACTGCCCTACCGTAAGAGGACGATTGAAGGGTCTCGATTGGCGTCTGCAAATTTATTGTACTTAGTTAAGAATGGAATACTAATATTCTCTTTCTGAGTGAACCGGGATTTTCATAAATCTTTGGAACCGCTTCATATAATTCGAAATAGAGATGATCTCAACTCGGTGTAATATGAGTAATTTACAAGTTTCCAGAAACGTAACGATAAGGTTAAGTAACGACTTATCGAATAGATAGACAATTTATGCAAATCATGCAAGATAGAAAACATTAAAAAAAAAATACGTATGGAAGAAAATTCTATGACAAATACTTTTAAAAATATTATTCGAAATTACCTCAAGTAACACGATTGGGAAATAGTTCAATCTTATTTTAGATATAGGTTAATTTAGTCTCTCCAGAAGAGTACCACCTAGAATATAACAAAATAACATAACAAGTTCAATCAACCAAACAAATTAAAAAAAAAATAAAACATAAAGTTGAGAAATTAAAAAAAAAATCATAATAACATGGTACATTTTAGTCTAAAAAACAAAAAAAAAAAAAAACAGAATATCAATATTGTTTTATAGGTTTGACAAACTAGACAAATTTCAAATTTTCAAAATGTATCATAAGTAGAACTGGAATTTTGGAAATAATGATCGGAACATATAGGTATAAATATATCGCTGGAAAGGAGAGAATTTCAGAAAAAAAGATAAATTTAATAAACAATTAAGAAGAACATAATGAAGGGTAATGAAAACAATTATTAATAGTAATTTCTAAAAAAATAATATTCTCTAACGGAAATCAAATGTTACCATGGAAACTAAATGAAATTCCATAACTAAATATAAATTTTGAAAATTAGTTTCAATTTGGAAATAAATAAAAATTGTTTTAAATATAAGTAAATTGTGTTTGTTTGATAGTCTTAATGAGTTTTCGAATTGATAAATATTACCGAAATTCATTAATTTGTTCTTGAATGTTTAACTCCATTAAAAATGTACTTCAAAAACTTTTTGCGATTGCCCAATTCTGTCAGGCAATCTAGGTGCCCCACAAGAATATAAAGTATACTTTTATTTACACACTTGACATCCAGTACACTTTTTTAGAACTTGGTGTCGGTGACACTTTTATTCATATAGTATTATAGGATGGTCGTTTGAGCTCCAAAAGCAATAAGTCGTTAGATGGATTTTTTTTAAAAATAACTCATTAATTATAACTTTTATCACTTTTTTAAGCCTTATTTTACTATACAGCATTGGATAAAAGTAAGTATATTTTTTCTTTTCTTGAAATCTTCATTCGCATCAGAAGCACATCTTCCATTGTATTGGTTTAATACCTTAAATCAGGAAAAGAAATCCAGCTCCTTTTCAGTCGCCTCCTGATGTCATATCATCACTAACCTTCTGGTTTATTAGTCTATTGTTATGTTCATTATTTTTATATGAAGTAAGTATATGGGAGTAAAGAATAAGTGTGTGTTTGTCGATAGTTGGCTGTCGCAAGTGGCCATATTAAGTTTTGTTGTTTACATAGCGAGGAGCTGTTGTTATTATTCTTAAAATCTTGGATTGAAAAAAATGCAGTTATCGTATTTTTCACTGAACCGTAAATCTGTGGACGTATGTCCATATTGCTTTAAGCACTCATGTATATATGGGTACTTAAACCAATATTATACATATTATGTATATGGGTATTATTTAGATAATCCTTATCTCTATCAGGTTATTTTCTTTACGTATCAGGATAATAATTCCAATTAGTTAGTATTTTTCTTTAGCTTAGTTAACATGGAGTGGGGTGATCGCCTTACACAAAGTTGGAAAATGTAGGTCAGAGATTTACAACACATTGAAAGTTTTAGGTATCTGCCTTATGTTCCAGTATCTCACTATAAATAGATATAATGAGACCCTATATGTATATGACAGACCTCGACCGAGCCGTCTCCGCACTGTGAGAACGGCAAATGCAGTGAAAGCATTCGCTGTTCGAATCAGAAGAAATCCCATTCGAAAATAACAGATCATATCTCGGGAAACGGCAATATCTGTCAGATCAATGTTTGCATGATAAAAAGTGACCTTAGGATAGGTACGTTTCGAAGAATGACAGGCCAAAGGCTAACCACTTCTCTAAAATAAATTAGTGTAGATAAATTCAAAGTGCTCCTTGGCCGTTACACCAATGGTCTTCATCGAAAGATTTTGTTTAGTGTTGAGAAAATGTTTATAATTGAAGAAAAATTTATTCGCCAAAATTATCGTGTGTACCCACATAGCTCTAAAGAAGCCCATGAAGTCATTAGAAAAGTGGAAAGAGGTCATCACCCTTCCTCAATAATGGTTGGTGAGGAGTTGGCTCTGATAGAAACACAAAACTCCAGGACTATATTTTGAAACATGTTGTCAAGCCTATAAATGATACTTTGTTTGCTAGAAATCATTTGGTTTTCCAGCAGGATTCTTCTCCAGCTCACAAGGCCAATTCAACTCAGCCGTGGCTGCAAAAGAACATTTCAGAGTTCATCTCTGACTCTTATGGGCCCTGCAAAAGAACATTTCAGAGTTCATCTCTGACTCTTATGGGCCCGCAGGAAGCCCGGATTTCAACCCGCTAGATTATTGGCTTTGGTCGGAACTGGAGAGGATGGCATGCCACAGATCACACTCTAACTTGGAAAGCCTCAAACAATCTCTGGACTGAGTACTTGAACGCTTTCCTCAAGAAAACTGAGTACTTGAGCGCTTTTCCGTGAAATCTGTATATATTTCTTGTAATAATATTTATGACAGGACTAGGTATTTAGTGTCTTATTTTCAATTTTGTGGTTTAGATTTGAGAAAAAGGGAGTAGAGGATTTTTAGTCACTTCTTTAAAGGTATTCTTTTTATTTTGACGTGTGGTATCCAGGTCATCATACATTAGTTCAAATATAATATTATTATAATTAGCAATTTTTTATTTCTGATTTATTGCAAATCAATTACTGACTGATATATTCGAACAGATTTGATTCAAGCCCAACTGTTAAAATTATTGAAGTGTTAAAGGTATCCACACCTAATTATAAAACTGGAAGATAGCCACCTGAAGATTAGGGCAGTTGAGAGCGGGTGTGGTAGGATAAATGCTTTTTGGATAGTTACAGAAAATCAGCTCCCAACAAGCGTTACGTAATTATGTTTAATTTTCTCCATATGGATATTCCGGTTTAGGAAGTTATAATTTAACGGGCTACCACCTTATAAATGTGGAAAAATTGGTTGAGAGTTTAGTCGTTAACGAGTTGTTATTCATTGGCACTTTATTGTGAGCTATTTGACCTATTTGGGGCTCAGTAATGACCTCTCACGATCGTTTCGAATTCCTCTCGGGAATATTAGGTGTGGTGGTCGCAATGTTGCGATGTTTCAGGCCATGATTTGAGCGTGTGGAGCAAGGTGTTCGGAGAATTTTGCATATTTATACATAGGGCTCGATTTTATCTCATAACAAATTGTTGCATATCTTTCTTCATAAATACAATTTCGTTGTATTGATAAATTAGTCTAAATAACGCCGAAAGGAGAAAGATTGCCGCCCACTTGGAGAATGTAGCGGAAATGTCTACAATAGCAGGTAGCTAGAGGAATTATCAGAGCTGATCTAATACATAATGCATGACCATCTGGGAAACTGGCTCATTACATGAAGACGAGTCCCCGGCGGTGATTTATCAGTGTTGCCTCCGAATCTTCCAGTTCCTTTCGCAAGTGCTCCTTCCCCCCTCCCACCTCATGGTTCCGCTACTCATTAGCTTGCAGCCTCGTCAAACACCTCGCCTCGGTTCTTGGTCACGACCTGCAAAGGTGTTGATTGTAAGGTAATACCGGGAGCTATGAGGACCCCTTGCTTCAGTCGCTCAATCTTCTGATAATTCTGTTAATAGCTCGATATAGAGTTTAATACTACATTTAAGTTGCTGGGTCTTTTAGATTTATAATTTTAGTTAAGCCTAATTTTTCTAACTTTGTTTTTTTTTAATAATTCAGGCTTACTTACATGAGGAAAAATGATAGATACAAAAGGAAAAGGCAATACATTTTGAAAAATTAATGAGAAATGGACGAAGAGAAATAAATAAGAGAAGGGAAAGAAATATTATTTGTGCAGATATTAACATTACTCCAGCCAATATGCAAGAAAAAAAGGGTTTCTCTCTAAATTTTTTTTAGTTTTTATTATTTGTTTATTGATAAATATTACAATCTGTCTCAATAAAGGACATTTATAATAGATTTCAGAGAGCACATTCAAACCATATTTACAAAATCAAAAAATAAATAAGGTAATTTCAAAATAATATTAAGCGAAAAAGAACAAAATAAAATATCATAGTGAAGGAAGAAAATATAAACAATAGTAATAATAGAATAAAAATAAATTAATAAGATATAATTAAAATAAATTTATTATTTAGAAGATTATTATTATTTTTAATTTTTTTTTTCTTCTCTATAATATTTGCTCAATATTCTGACTCTAAGACATAAGGGTCGAATAGTGTTCAAGAGAACAACGATCTGAACTGTTATTTTACATATATATATATATTTTGAAAGGTATACCTTCAAAAATAAGAATATCTTTTTGTCGGCCTACCCTATTGAGCACCTGTTCCACTGATTTCTTATAGTTATATGTATTCCCCTTGATTAGCTATTCTTATATACCTATATATATATATATATATATATATATATATAATAGATAAGAATAGAAGATCAAGGGGAATACATATAACTATCAGTTATTCTTATATACCTATATATATATAGGTATATAAGAATGAATAGCTGATCAAGGGGAATACATATAACTATAAGAAATCAGTGGAACAGGCACTAAATGTGATAGGCTGACAAAAAGAATATTTTTATTTTTGAAGGTACTGAAGAAAACATGCCTCTAGATAAAAAAAAAATTAAAGAACAAATAATTGGCCTCCCCGACATGGACGAAAGTTTAGCATAACAAAACTATCTTTACGAAAATTCAAAATTACTAGGGTTTTTTGTTTTGGGCATCCAGGAACGAATTTGCTCCCGTGTTGGTCTATCCATACGATGGGCATATCATTTACTACCGTTAAACCGATTTTGATAGGATTGTGCCTATGAGAACTAACACAGTGCTCATATCAATTTCACCAAATTCCATCACGCAAACTCTCACATACGTCCTTAAATTGAAAAAAGATAGTCCTATCAAGCTCAAAGATGCTCAAACGTTTTCTATTTCAACATCATATTTCAAAAATGTCTCATTTAATTAGGGCCGAAATTCATGTATTTTTTAAAGAATATAATGGCTGTGAAATGAGGTATGGAGGAGGGGAATATAACTCAACGGGAAATCAGTTTTAAACATAATTAATTAGATTTTTTTTTTGTATTTCCATCATTTTAAAATAAAATTATGATACAAATATGTGTATTTTCATATTTATCCATAAGAGTTCTTTTTCGACCACCCTCCAGTTTATTCATTTTATTTTTTAATTACAAAAGGTCAGCAAGATCTATTTTTTCGTTTGTTAAATAATATATATTTTCTATATAAAGAACCTCATGGGTTTTGAAGTATAATCAATACAACTTTAATTTGGCGACGTTAAGAGAGTTCTTTTATTCATGCACTCAAGTAAAACATATGCACTTTTATCAGAAAATAATTTTTAAACAATAGAATGATCAAAATCAATATTACTCATTATTAAAAATAATAAACTAATATAATAATATTCTTCTTCTGTTCACAAAGTTGTTATTGACAAAGCTTCCTGAAGGCTTCTATTAGTGTTGTTTAGGGACAAAGTTTACCTTATCTACTTAGTAAATGTCACATTTATCTTCTTCTCTTATTGACAATCGTATTTTCCACAGCTATTGCTCAAACATTTTCTCGTATTGCATTTAAATCTCCCGAGCTCAGAAGCGATCTGAACCAGAGGTTATCTACCATCTTTGCTGAGTTATGCTTCAGTGGTTAATGTGTTGGATTATTAAGCCCGTGGTAAAACAAAGCCCCTCTGTTATAAGAAAGGTGAGACTGAAAATAATTATAATGCTTATGCGTGTAACGCTAGCCGGACCCACATCATGCGGGCTCCTATATATTTTCCTTATCCAACTTCATGGGAGGTAGCGTGTGTTTACATGAATCTATTCCGACCTATGTCCCTCTTAGCTCTTGGGCTTCCTTCCTATACCCTCGGAATAGCAAGTAGGCTTAATTATGAACCGGCTTAACAACGCTTCCGATCAGGTGTCTGTTGTAATAGAAGAACAAGCGTTTGTTTATAAGGAGGCATTTCCAATGTTTTTAGTAATATAATTGTTTATAGATCATCACAATAACATTTTTTTTTATATTTAATGTTTTATTCACACCTGTCATAATGGCAATGACAATCAGTGAATGTGAGATCGATTGCTAAATATAATGTCATGAAAGGCATGAGGAGGATCAGTGCCCAGCGGCACCTCAGTCGGCGTGGTATCTACATTAGGCAAGAGGTCCCTCATCCAGCTCCTCTTCAGTCTTCTACAGACGTTACCTGGCATATTCGTAGTGGCCATGTCATTTATAAGTGTATTAGGATGTCCTTGTAACTTGTCATGGAATCGTTTGTAATGAGTACATACGTGTTCGTTCACAGTCGGCCTATGGAGGTCAGTATGTAAGGTTATGTTGCTAACGTACCAAGGTGCTTTTGTAATTGTTCTGAATGTTTTTGCTTGAAAGATTTGAAGTTTGTTTAAGTGAGTCTTTTTAGCAGTTCCAAATATCTGTGATGCGTAAGTCCAAATAGGTTTTAGCAAGTAATTGTATGTGTCCAATTTCTGTCTAAGTTTTAGTTTTCGAAAGAAGTGAACTCAGAATTCTTAATCTTTGATTTAACGTTTTTCGGTTTTTGATTATATGTGGGCCCCACGTCATTTTTCTGTCAAATGTCAGACCAAGGTAGTGAACAGTGTCTGTCTGTGGAATCTGTGATTTGTCTTGATTTAGTCGGATTTTCCAAATTTTGAACCAGTCATGTAATCTTGTTAAATACTGTTGTAGGATCTGTGAGACGTATGTTGGATTTTTGTGTCTTGCTAAAATTGCTGTGTCGTCTGCATATGTCGCTGTTAAAATGTTGGGACTATAAGGTATGTCATGGGTGTATGTGATATAGAGTAGTGGAGCGAGTACTGAACCTTGAGTTACTCCTACTGAGGTACTCTTGCCACTGACACATCATCATGGCCGATTTTCTGCATGGAAACAAATAGATGTAGAAATATTAGTTATACAATAAATAGCTATGAGTGGTATAGTGATAACTATTTAGATTTTTAGTAAAAATGTTTCGTTAGTTTTTTTTTTTTCCAGACCATTACGTGTATTCATTTTTACATTTACATTATTTTAATATATATATATAAAAAAAAACCTTCAACGTTTCAAACTCTCCGTCATCTTAAAACCATAGTACGTTTTTTTTTACATCATGACGCTGACCATTTGACTAAGAAGGAAAACTAATAAATAAATTAGTTAAATATGGGCGAGGTTCCCTTGATATAAAAT